TAATGATATGGCTCCTTACCAACTAATGGTAGACAGACACTATCTAGAAGAGGAGAAAAAGAACAAATACTTTCTTTTGAGTAGGTAGAACGCTCATAATTTCTTGTTTACAAATATTTCAAAACAAATAACTTTCAAACACACCAACATTTTCTTAAAATATTTTCAAAGTCAACACTTTGTATGCATTCTTATAGAGATGAGAATCATTACAAAGTTTATCCAACGATGGCACTTCACAAAATATTTTCAAACAAACACATTCATAAAAACATTTCAAAAGCGAGCTAACAATTAAGAGCCCGTAGATAACTACGGATGAAAAGGGTGCTAACACCTTACCTTTTGATAATCTACCCCCCAAACTTAAGAAAATTCTCAAAAGGTCTTTCCTGTTCTTTTCACCCTTTCATTTATTGGATAAAAGAAAAGTCGGTGGCGACTCTTGCTATCCGCAACAATTACGATCAAACGCAAAACACCCAAGTCAGTTCTCCCACCGTATTACAACGAGGTTATGATGTTATGTTCATTAAATAAGTAACAAACACAAACAAGTCATACAAGATCCTTAGGTTTAAAGCTTACTCTTAATTGCTTAGCTCACTTTTAAAAACTTGTTTTGTGTGTGTGTGATTTGTTTGAAAATATTTTGAAATGCCAATGTAAGGCTAATGTTGTAATAATCCTTGTGTCGGTCCTCAAGAATGCATACAAAGCATTTTTTTTTGAAAATATTTGTTTTGAAAGTGTAGTGTAAAAATGTATTTGTTTGTGAAAAAGGTTGTGAGCAAGCATTCAAGAATTCTTACCCACTAAGTCTTTCTTGTTATTTTCCTTATCCTTTGGAGATAATATCATTTGTACCATCAATTGGTAGGTAATCCTATATATTGTATATGAAGGGACATGCGTAGGGTCATCGAAGGCAACATGTAAGGATACTTTATCAATTGTATCGAAGAGACTATCATCATTTTGCTCGTAGGGTCATCGAGGGACTAGATCATTTTGTAGGAAACTGGGAGGGTCATCGAGTGACTATGATCTTTATTCGAAATGGACTATGATGATTTGATCGATGGTCTTTTGCTAAAGTATCCCCACTTTTGAGGGACATGACCAATGTTGGTAAGACAACAAGAGAGGTTACCCTAGAGGTGCAAAGTGTTTATTTTTAGTTATCTTATCTTAAAAATTAGGGTTATCTACGTCCAATTATTAGTCTTGCCATACAAACCCTAATTACTAACAGTTAAATATGAACAGAAAATTAAAGTGCGGAATGTAATGTGCGGAAAATTAAACCTAAGCTATTACATCCTATGAGCAGATACATAATAGGAAAAAGACGCGAGAAAAGATAAATCTATGCTATTACATCGGAGAGTGTGACCTATACACTTGTTCTAAGAATTTAAATAGGAAAAGATGAGGAAAAGAATGTTATAAAAATGTTTTAATGTTTTTTGTAGAAAATAATTTAAGTTAATAAATAGTAATTAAAACCTAATTATTTCTAATTAAATTTGATATTGAGAAAAATCTAATTAACTCAATTAATTAATAAATTAAAATATGTCAAAAAATTAATTACTAACTAAAAAAAACCTAATCCTAATTTGTTATAGTTTTGAAAAAAGTTTAAGGTTAGAAAATAATTTAATTAAGAAAATGGAATGAAAATTAGGATTAGTAAAATAGAACAAAAAAATGATGGGGTGGGAGTTGAACCCACGCCCTCAGCCTCAAAGGATGCGCTGCTTTTCACTAGCTCATGTGTTGTGTTTGTGATTGAGAATAGCTAGCGCTCAACATTTGTTATCCTTATATTTTGCCCTGAAAAATAAAAGAAAATTTGCACAAGGGCTAGATCAAACCCACACCCTCATGCATGATGACCATTACTCTTGCCACTAGGACACTTGTTGTTGCACGTCAGTTAATCAACATGCATTCCATATATTATAAATCAAAATCAAGAAATCAAATTAAAATAAAATCAGAAAACACACGTTGTGGTGGGGTCAAGTTTTTGAATGGACCAATGGGAGAATGCCACATCTAGGTCTCCTGAGTCAGAAGGGTTAAACCACCGTGGAGGGTGGTTAGCTTCATCTTCTCCGGTGAGGAGATTTTGAAAACATGCAAAAACGCGTGAGTTGGATCATAACAGGGACCATATCCCCCTAATTTGACCCTTGCGAATCCAATGGCAGCATTAGTTTGACCTGAAAATGCCTGTAGAGTGAGTTTCGAAGAAAATATTTCAAACTGCCCTAACAATGGTGTTTTGTTGTTCCTGCACGAAAGCTTGTAAGTGATGATTCTAAACAAGTCCAAACATCATTATAAACAGGTATATATGCACAAAACTAATCAACAATGCATGAATTATGAGTTTAAATTCAAGAAAGTTCAACAAACCAGTGATACTTGGTTGTGACGAGCTTCAGTAATGATTGGGATGAACTCCTAGGAACCTCAGGAGTATGATAGAATGCTCGGAACAAATTGATAAAGGTTGCACACGAGGGTTTGGGTTTACCCTAGTTCTTGAAAAATATGATATTTGTAGGGTTTGTTCTTGAGGTAGCCCTACATGTTCCTGAATGGTTGAAGGTGTTGTGTATTTATAGTGCTTGGATTAGGCCAACAAAAGTGAGATGAATTTTTGTATTTCATGGTGAAGAGATTTGATTTGAATTTTGCATGAAAAGTTTTTCTTTTAGGCTCAATCTTGTGCCAATCATCCTCACACGGTTTTGGCAAGTTGTCATGAGCTTTTTGGGCTTCAAATCTGATCCAAAATAAAAGCCTTGTGCCTTAATCCATTAGTTGTATATTTTATTTAATTTATTTTAAATTTAATTGAATAAAATCAAAATAAAAAGAAATAAAAATTACAAAAATATATGAATGGATTAAGAGGTCTAATATGAGGTCATGAACACGTTTGAACCTAAAAACTTAGGCCCATTAGCCCAAAAATTCAACTTTGTTCAATTTGAACTTCATGCATTTTCTCAAAATTCCCAACTTGCACCAATCATAACTCTCTCAATTCTTGTCATATGAAAATGATCTTGGACTTTTTAGAAACCATAAGATGTCTCATACAACTTTGATGTTGATCATTTTTTCATTTGAAGTCTTTATCTTTTTGTAAATTGCTCTGATAAAAGACGTCTTTTTGTTGACTTTTAAAATGACATGTAAAGTTTTGACTCATATCTCTCAAATGAAGCATTTTTGGCCTTGATCTTAGAGAGACAAAGTTGTAGAGAATTGAATTTCATTCAAAATGAGCTTTGTTTGAGAAATTTATGATGAAGTATGTGAAAGTTATGATTGGTCAAAATCCAGTTGACTTCTCCAAAAGAAAACCCTAATTTAATAACTTTTGATGAATCTTTAGTTTTCTTGATGAATCATGATAAAACCTTGATCAAATGATGAATGTGACTTCAAAATATTGATGTTGACTAAAAATATTGAAGTTTGACTGTAGATTGACCAAAGTTGACTTTTTATTTAATATAGTTGATTTTCAATCATCTGGCTAATTGAATGAGCAAACTTGTGATGTAAGGCTTGAAACTTGGTATGAGGATTCTTTGAAGCAAGTGGGATACCATGAAATCCACTTGAGGAATTAGAAGTTCAATTTCCTTTGAGAAAAATAAAACCTTAGTTGTAGGTCAATTGCTTAAGAGGGATGCTTGTATGCTTAAACTTTGAGTATTTTTGAGCAATTGAAAACCCTAGGAGCATGAGGAGACCTATTGAAATAATTTGTTTTAAAAATGGGAGGGAAAATTTTAGGGTACAACACTTTGTATATTATGTTAATGGATTTAGAGGCTTACTCAAGTGTGCGTGAGCTCCAAGCGATGCGTCTTGTTTACCCCTTAGTCGAGAGCCCTATTTATAGAGGTGTATGGACCTCAATGATCACTGCATGTGACTGTCGTGGCTTTCCATATTACATAACTTTGTTGCCTTTAAGGCAAGTAACGCCCGTCGTCACCAATGATGGCTATTATCATAACATGCACCATCGTATAATGATGAGCGATTACGCCCTTAATGGGCCGACCATTGCGTAACAACTCCATTAAGGTCGAGCTCAGGGTAACCTCTGGATCCAGGGTATGAGCCTGACTACTACCTCTTCATCTTCTCCCACATCCGATTACATGATCCTCCGATCACACAACCCAGTTTAGGCCTTGTGGACTCGATCTAAGATGATAATCGGCTGATTGCCTAAATATTTTTCTTTGGTCTAACAACCACGCCTTGCGTTTTATCTCATCTAACCCGAACAATAGAACTATGCATGAACAAAAATATTATTTAAAATTTAATGTTATTTTAAATAGATTTAAAAAAAACAAACTTTTAGATATATTATTTTAAAAAAATATCTAAAATTTAAGAGTCGACAGAAAAAGTATGAAACCAACTTCATGGTTTCGTTTAAAAGATCAACATATTTATAAATAATGTTTAAAAAGTGTTGGAGTTAAATGGAATCAAACCCATGCAACAAATCTAGTATTTCATTATTAACTAAATAAAGGATAAATTATCATATACAAATTGGAAATATAGTAGTATAATTGTAAGGATAAATTATCATATACAAATTGGAAATATAGTAGTATAATTGTATGAATAGATTCATGGAATATTCCCGCAAATTTAGTTGATTTTAATTCTGAGACAATTGCGATAAAATACACTCGAATTTCTCGATGGTGTCAACGCAATAATTCCAACAAAGAATGAGGGTCATTTCGGTCTTTGTAGAAACTGGCATAACGATACAAAGTAAAGAACCAAAGCAGTGATTGGTGCATATAAAAGCCTACACATTACAGAGAGAGTGCGACCACGGCGAAGAATTGGGAGAGACTGAGGAGCGAGAAATCCAACCATTTTCTTACCTCCTCTCTCGCACTTCTTTGCGTATTTCGTTCATTTCGATTCTCCAAATGGCTCCGTCATCTGAAACTTCCGTCCGCAAGAACATGATTCCTTCATTTCTCTACGGTTCCTCCCCTAAAACCCTACCGGTTATTCACCAGATCATCAACTCCGGCCCCGCTCCTTCCGCCGCCGCGTCGCCTTCTTTGACCGGAACTGGATCTTTCATGATTCCTTCTCCTAAGGAATCCGGTAAGATCGAGATGTACTCGCCGGCTTTCTATGCTGCCTGTACCGCTGGTGGAATTCTGAGCTGTGGTCTTACTCACATGACCGTCACTCCTCTTGACTTAGTCAAGTGTAATATGCAGGTCTGTTGTTATTCTTGGATCTGGATTTTACTGATTAGATTTTGTGTTTTGATTTGTGATTTCTAGATCTGCGATTTTCTTTTAGGTTTTTCCGATTTGTAGTGTTTGCTTGTGATTTTCGTAGTGCTGTTCTTGGTTTAGTAGATCTGTGATGTTTGGTGCTGGTTGTTTGTTAAGTTGGACGGTTCTTTGGTTTGATTCGTTCTTTGTTAAATTACGATTCCATTTCGTTAATCTGAAGCTATGTAATGTTGTTTTTGTGTTATTTTACTATCTTAAGCGTTTACAGTGTTTGGATCATGTCTTTTGAATTTGTTGTTATAGGCGTGATTTACTTTTTGAGATTCTCAGTAGAATTGTGCCGTGATGCGTTTTCATATTTTGTACATTGACTTCTTAGTTTCTTAGTCTTGAATTGCGGACTCTGGTGACCTATGTAGCACCCACACCTCTGAAAACAAGGTTCATGGGTGGTGTGCGAGTAGTCTTGATGCATCTGTTCTATTGCAATGTTGATGACTAGTTTGGTTGGAGTTAGAATTGCAATTGTTTAGTTGGTTGTAGCTTTGTATTGTGTTGTAATGCGTGGATTGCTTATTGATTTCAGATTGATCCTACCAAGTACAAGAGCATCTCATCAGGGTTTGGAGTTTTGCTCAAGGAGCAGGGAGTTAAGGGCTTTTTCCGTGGCTGGGTGCCTACCTTGCTTGGTTACAGTGCACAGGGTGCTTGCAAATTTGGATTCTATGAGTTCTTTAAGAAGTACTATTCTGATATTGCTGGTCCAGAGTATGCAAACAAGTACAAGACCTTGATCTACCTTGCTGGTTCAGCTTCTGCTGAGGTCATTGCCGATGTTGCACTTTGCCCATTTGAAGCTGTGAAAGTACGTGTTCAAACTCAGCCTGGTTTTGCTAGAGGTCTTGGTGATGGGCTCCCAAAATTTGTCAAATCTGAAGGAGTTTTGGGGTATGTTTGTAAACTCTTTCACTTCTGAACTGTTATGGTAGACTAGAGGATGTTGTGTGATTCTTTTACATTGCTCTTAATCTATGTTTGCAATTAGGCTATTATCTAACTAAAATTCATAATTTCAGGTTGTACAAGGGATTAGTGCCTCTATGGGGACGACAAATTCCATGTATGTTGGCCATCTTAAAGTTTGTAGTTTATATTATATTAAATTTCTATTTTGTTGAGTTGATTGTTTGTATCCTGTTCCATATCCACTACTTAGCTTACCAGCTGAGGCATTTTAGTTTACACATGCAATGCTTGTTCAATCTATAACATTTCTTCTCATGCAATGCTTGTTCAATCTATAACGTTTCTTCTCATGCAATGCTTGTTCAATCTATAACGTTTCTTCTCATGCAATGCTGGTTGGCCATGTACTACTATACTGTTTGACTTCTAGTCAATTTTTAAATTGGGTATTCTTGACTGGTGTGATTCTAATGAGTTTTTGATAATTTATCGAAGAGCTAGTCAAAGGTTTAACAAGGATATAAGTTACATTCTTTTAATTGTCTATGTATATGTACCTAAAGTTCTCAATATTCTTGCATTTTTTCTTTACAAGTTCTGTTAGAAAATATCTGACTAGTTTCTGATTTGTTTAGGGTGTCATAATATTTTTTTTAAAATATATTTACGGAAATTTGTGACAATTTCCTGAATACTTTTTTAAAAATAATTTTTACACCACTTTTATCATATTATGGACATGTTTTTGTATCCCTACTTATATATCCTTGTTTGAAAAAATTGTGATTGTTATTTTCTGAGTGATGATGAAACTCTTTGATATGAGTATTAGTGCGGAGTTTGCTGTTCTGCAATTTAAGTTTGTAGCTTGTTTCTTTTATGTCATTATATCTTATGAATTTAAGATGACTTACGATTGAACCAAATGACATGATACCTGGTAACGAGACCTGTAGAACTAACGAATATTATTTCTTGTAGACACAATGATGAAATTTGCTTCTTTTGAAACCATTGTTGAGCAAATCTATAAACATGCCATCCCCAGGCCAAAGAGCGAGTGCAGCAAATCTCTGCAACTTGGTGTCAGTTTTGCTGGTGGATATGTTGCTGGTGTACTTTGTGCAATTGTGTCTCATCCTGCTGATAACCTTGTATCTTTTCTGAACAACGCTAAAGGTGCCACAGTTGGTGATGTGAGTTTCCTCTGGTTCATATTTATGTAATTGTTTTGCATTTTGTCTGATTTCAACAAGTATATGTGATGTTATCTAATGTTTAATGCAGGCTGTTAAGAAGTTTGGTGTTGTGGGTCTTTTCACCCGAGGCCTCCCTCTCCGTATCGTTATGATTGGAACACTTACAGGAGCCCAGTGGGGAATATATGATGCTTTCAAAGTCTTTGTGGGGCTGTAAGTTTATACAACTGCTTGTCTGTGATATTGTTTCATACATTTCATCTTCTACATTATGACATCATATTAAAATGTTGTTCTCTTTATTAGGCCAACAACTGGTGGTGCAGCTCCTCCTGCTGAGATCGTAAAGGCATAAAGCAACCTATGGTGACAATTTATATTTTGCTTGAGTAACACAGTAAAGGAGAAATAGGGACCATAAATAAACAGAGGGCTGCTGAGGTTGTCCAAGTTCAGACATTGTTTACATTTTTCTTGCATTTGGTCATTTAATTTTTGGTAGGACGATTTTGCTCGCATCCCTTCCAGTTGCTGAAAACTTTAGGTAGGAATGATATAATTTTGCGTGTTAGGATTACTGCACGCTTCTGTCAAACGGGAATACAACATTTATTTGATTGTTTGTGCATAAGCATGGACGCATATGCAATGCTAGATTGAGATCAAATTTTCTCTTATTAATTTTCATCTGGATTATATTTTTGGCGTTAAAAGTTGTGTTTCTTGTGTTGCTATTATTTGTAATTCAGTGGCTGTTACCAGGTCTATTCAGTGTTGCTATTATATTTATTCTGTTACCAGGTCGATTCAATGTTGCTATTATATTTATTCTCACATCGCTAAGCAAAGCTATGAAACCCTTAAAAGTTAATTGATTCAACAATACCCTTTAAATTGATTCACACGCCGGAAAATTACTTTTGAATTAGTATGACCATTTATCCATTAAATAGCTTTGAGCTTTAGAACATCAAGCTGGGGAGTCATATCTGCTCATTCTCTTTTGTATCTATTCTTCTACTATAGTGGGTGGGTTGAATGGGTGTTCTAGAAATTTTTAATCGGGGTATTGAAATGGTCTATACTAATTTAGTGGATAACAAATATACGTTCTTTTCGGAACTATGTAATTTAATTACAAAAGGATTTAGGATATCTTTCTACTTTCTATATATGCTGTATGTAGTTTTTATAATTTATAAGTAGGATTTATAAAAAAATTAAAAAAATTCTAAAAAAATAATATAAGTAAGGTCTCTCCAACAGTATCACAATAGTTATTGTAGTAGATAAACTTAAATAAATTAATTTAAATTAATGTTTTAAAAATCAGACTTGAGATTGAACCCATGAAACTTCTGATTTAAGATTTAATTGATTCAATCAATTAAATTTAGATTTAATTGGTTCAATCAATTAAATTTATGAGCGAACGGTTTATTAGATAAATTAATAATATAAAATTAATTTTTAATAGATATGTCACATAATTATATATTCACAATTTAAAATAAATATTTCAAAAATCAATTATAATTTAATACAACATAGTTGTACTTTATTTCAACCTTCGTTTACAAATAATTAGTATAAATTAAAGAATTACAATAAAATAAGTTAAACTAATTCAAAAACAAACAAAAAATTATAATAATTAAAATAAAGTTCAATTTATTAAGAATATCTAAATTAAAATATGAAACACAAAAAAATAAACAATACAATACACTTACTTAAACAACGAAAAGCAAATTTAAATTAAACTATGACAAATATACGATGAAGTATGATTGAAAGAAAAATTATAACGAAATGACAAAACTTAGAAATTTGTTTGTTTGTAACAAAAACATAAAACTATTTTTTGTGATTGGAGAATTTATGTTTAAGTTTTGATATTTACATGTTAAACTTTAAAAAAAAAAGGTTAATTTGATGTATTTTTTTAAAGTTTTATAAGATCGGCTCTGATTCTATAGTTTGAATGATTTTGGATGTTGTAGTATAGACCACGATATATCTTGAACTCTGGTAAATTATGTCTTGAACTCCATCCCAAATTATAATAATCAAGTGACTTGTCTACCTCAACCAACTTGTGACTTTAGTGATAGGATGGTTCAGAATGTTTTTGTGGAAAGATAATCATAACTCTGGTATGCATCTCGTTGTCGGGAATAAAATCACTAACCTAAAAAAGATGGGTGGTCTTGGGGACTCCATCGGGATTGTGATTCTCTATGGGTCCAAGTTTTAAAGTGTAAGTACATAAGTGAGGAAATATTTTTTAATATGAAAAAAATTGGGATCAATTACTTGGAATGCAATTATGAAAATTTTCTCCGCTCTTAAAGATGATTTTGAATTTAGATTGGGGATTAGAATTCATGTTTCTAGTTTTCAAATTGATATGAGATCGAGAAATTAGCGAAGCGGGTTCTCTATATGGATATTCATGGTCTGGAAATGCGAGTGAATGATGTTTACATAGAGGGAATAGGAACTTTAATTGATTATATATTAATATTCTTTCGATTGTTTGTGACCGTTTGAAATCACTTTCCATTTGTTTAAATTCTTCGGTGCCTGATCGATTAACATGAAAAGATAATTTATATGGTATCTATATTGTTCGAGATGGTTATAATTATCTCAAAATACTTGAATTTGTTCATAATACAATAGACAATAACTTTTGAAAGTGAGTATGACATATTCCTTCTCCTAAGAAGGTGAAAATCCCCTTTAGACGTTGTGGCCCTTGATATGCACATGCTCTCCTGAAAGGCCAACAAGAGATCCTTGGAAAGCTCTAACTCTATTGAGATCAAGATGGAGCCCCTGGAAGGTGCTCTATAACAAGATGTCTGTTGAGCTACCAAGGTCGCTCAACACTCGCTTCACATCTCAATTGGCATACTGAATTTTGATGACCATGAGATCATTATTGTTGGGGAGATATCAAATGAATATTCTCTCGAAAAGGTGATTCTAGGTTCCCAGTCTCTGCTTGAGGTTTTGTGAGCTTTAGCGGGTGTGATGTTTGATGTCTACACTTGTCAGACGTACTTTCTTCAAGAGGAGTTAAATCTTACCCCGAGAGAAACCTACAGGAATGGTGTTGGTAGTCTTCTCATAATTTTTCTCAAACATCACCTTAAGAAGACAGTGAAAGAAATAATGAGTAAATGATGAGTGAGGCCCTGGTTAGTTTTATAAGACCCCGCAGTGGGTGCCAATTGTACTTGTTAAAGCTCAAAATGTGTGACAACCCCTAAAAATTGAGGGCTGTTAGATGATTTAATATTGTGATATTGAGAACTAGCTCACGTGGTATTGAGATGCTATGTATCCATATATTTCTGTAATGGAGTTTTGTTTCCTCTCTATTATAACCACCTTGGGCTTGGATCCAAAACTTCATTGAAAATAACAACCACTTCTGGAATGGATAGTTAATTCCCTATAATTCAGGGAACACCGTTAATTCCCATGACTCCTTTAGTGTTGTTGTTGACCAAATATATATTATTCACGCGATTGCCCACTTTGGACGAAGGCACAAAGGATTTGGGCGACATATCTAAAAAAATATCCATATCTAAAAAAGGACACTAAAAGAAAAAATGGAAAATATAAAAGAAGGGATATGAGAATCATAATCACTCTCCACTCCCCCACAAATACTTCGACTACACTACTAAAATATCATGTATAAAATGTCCATTCAACATAATTCTCAAGTCCTCGATGATATACTTGAGATTTTTCTCCTTCAAGAACAACACCATAAGGGCGTCGTAAAGTGAAAACTCTTTTCACTAAATCTTACTTAAGATGCTATGAAATGGTACAAAACCTCTCTAACATAAGCGCTAACTCGTGGAACGACCTGTATGACACGTTCAACATCCATTTTACTGCTTGCAAATGCCAACTCACAATCATGGCGGTCCTCAGCGAAATCACGCAAGGAAATAAGGAGACCCTACGGGGGGTACATAAACCAATTCATGAAGGTGAGAGTAATCATAAGGAGGCTCAAGAAAGGCATGATATTAGACTACATGTTCGGAGAACAAAATAGGACTAAAGATGCCTATAGCTTGAGCGATCTACAGATCAGGACATAACTCTAAATAAACTAGGAATATGAGCTCTTAGTTGATGAGAACGAGAAAAATCAGGGATTCGGAAGTGACAAGTGTAACAAAGTTCCAAAGAGGGACAACAACTGTCAAAGAGATGATCGACAACAAAGATCTCGAGAAAGGGCTCCATTATACACTCCTTTGAAAACTTCAACCGATAAGATCTTGCATAAACACACAAACACTAATTTCAAAAAAAGATGGATCAATAATTCATACCCGGTCAAAGAATCTCCAAGGATAAAAATGTTCAAATACAATTGTTTCTATGCAAATCATGGTCACAACACAAATGATTGTTTCATCTGAAAGATACAGTTGATTAAGAAAGATCGTATCGCTGAGTACACTCGGGAAGATGGTATAGGATATATACAAGAAAGGAGAAGGGAGCCTGAGGGCCGCGTGTAGTCATCATGATAAAAATGGTCTCCTCGTAGGGAGAAACCATCCCTTAAGAAAGTCATCGAAGATGTGTTCGCGAGTAGGGAAAAGTAAGATAACAATAGTGAAGAGGAAGAAGACTGAGGGGGGGGGGGGGGAGGGACACCAACATATAGACTCCATTATGGGCATTATTTCAAGGCCAAGCAATCCTTCCAAGAGCATGGTTAAGAGATAAATTGCTGAATTGACGACCATTGGTAAGGAAGAAGGAGAAACTTCTGCCAAAAAGCTATCTCAAATTACATCTTTCCCTAGTGATAACGACCACCATGTCCAAGTGTGACATGTCCTAAGTACTAATCGACAATGGTAGTTCCTGTGATATCATATATGTTGATATTCTTGGAAAATTAGGGTCATGGGAATAAAAACTTTGGTCGTACGAGGGGTTCGACTAACAAGCCTTCAGTGACATGGTGAATCGCTTGTGGGGGTATATTGATATAATGTTCACCCTTAGGAAGGGAGAGACACAAGAACCGTCAACCTTCAATTTCTGGTAGTTCCAAACCGAAGCATATAGATGTGAATTATGGGTAGACTTTTTTTGCAACATTGGACAAGGTTTGCCTCCCCGATATATATCAAGATAAAGTACCATAACAAACATTGATGAGCCAGTGACTATTTGTACCAACCAAAAAAGAGATGAAGTTTTAACATGAATTTTTAACTATAGAGACCTCCACAACCAATTGAGAGCTTTTAACAAGAGGCTAAGCTCACAAACCAACTGTGAGTTTTAACTATAAAGACC